CTATTTGATGACTAGTATTTCGAGCCAAAATGAGCTGAACACGAACGAACAAATCTTTGTTCTTGTTCGGCTCATTAACTTAGCGAACAAGCCGAACACGAGCTGTTCGCGAACATCGAGCCGTTTTGACAGCCCTATTTCCAGAGATCCAAGTATTTCTATTATGTGATATCAGGGTGGTGAATCTACCCCAAGAAAGAGGAAACGTGATAACAGCAATAAAGGAAAAATGTGCATATCTGAGGAAGACATTGAGATCCTTGATGGTGATGTTTGAGCGAAGCCATTTATTTAATTAGGAAGGGGGCATGACACCATCTAACACAGTTTTCCTGCTAATCCAATCCTTCTGTTGTGTTTTTGTTGCTCATTCAGAGGAAATGTTGACTATCCTTGAATTATTCTAACATATAATAGTGAAAATACAGTGTATAATAATGTAATCATATTTTTCAATCTGACTTAGTGAATAAATTGGCCTATAAATTTTCTGATATTTTTACATGTTTTCTTTTTATTTCAGCGTTTTATAATCTTAGTAGATAGCTTATTTGGTTCAGTTAACAAATATCTAATTCTAAGAAATGTTGCAAACTCTCTCAGTTAATTCATTTATAACCCAAGCAAAAAATTTCATTTACAGCACTAATACTAAGAATTCTGCAATTTAATGTCTAAACGAGGTTCATATTGTAAAAAAAAAAAAATGTTAGAATGATTTTGCTATTAAGAGATTGTACCAAATTAAAATTGGGCAGTTAAATTCAAATACACCCAATGTTGTGGAGACTTGATTCTAAAAATTTACATGGCTTTCAAGTTCTTTTGGCTAAGTTGTAAGCATCTGTCTTGAAGAAGTTCAATTTATAAAAATCCAACCCTCATAAATAAAGAAATAACTTAAAAAAGTCTATGATTAGGTGACATGATTGATAAAAAATGTATTTTGAAAAATTTGTAGATCATAAACATTTAGATATAGTGAATAGTAGCCAATCAGATCGAATCTATCTCAGGAAGGTATTTGTTATAAATTTCCATTTCAAGGAATTGTCATTTGAATTCTTGACCTTGAGAAACATCAATTAGTCATATATTGTGTTGGGGGTTTTTAGATTATGAAATTTCCTACCCATGAAGTCAAATTACTAAGATTTAAGAGAAATTATGGTGCCATTAACGTTCTTTTTTGAGGTTCGTTTTGAAATATCTCTCAAAAAAATTAAGGTTAAACCAAATCTCAAAAAATGTAAGAATTAATAACCCTTAAAAAACTCAAATTATCTAATCTCAAACTCTTAAGTAGCTAAATCTAAATTGGGATAGTGAGGTTCATAAAAATCACTTCTAATAATGAGCTAGAATACCAAATTTTCTTGTATCATCTCAAAATACACCATTGCATCCTATAGTTGTACATGACTTCAATTAGTGGTTTATTTATCAAATTTAAATTAACACAAAAATATTTGATCAATACTTCAATTTAAATATCTCATAGAAACCTTAAATACATTAAGATCATTCTTTGCTTTAAATGAATCATTTACTTCTCCATTAAGTGTTTGAGATGCCCTACAGAAGTATTAGATATATTTTACACTCAATATAAGTGTAGCCTTATTGGGTTTAGAAAAAGTTAGTTTGACCACTGATCCCAGCTCTTATTATATGTCAATAAGATGTATGGGATTATATTCGGTTATAATCTTAATTTTTCTTTACTTATAATTTTTACTTTGCAACGGTGCTAAAAACTTGATCACCAACAATAGTTAGGCACAAACTTGACTTCGAAGCAAATAAGAATACAATTATTATATTTAAATATGAGATACTACATAAGTATACGTATTGTTATCAAGTAATATAAGATTTTTTGATTAAGCCCCGAATATCGAACCCACAGGGAAAAAATGCAACTTCAAATCACGAGAAATTTGATAACAAATTCTACTTAGCAAAATGTTCTTACTTAAACTTTAGATGGTATAATAGGAATGGAAGTCTGATTCTTTTTGTAACTTTTGATAATTGAAAATAAAGTAAACAACTAACTAAATTTAATTAGATATTTGTAAGATGAAGGCAATATAAATAAAGTGTCTTTTTCCTTATCATGAATCAGTAATAAGTATGAGAATTCTGTTGTGAAAGTATTCAAATTGTGTTGTGTCAAATAGAAACAATAATATTCATTACCCTTATTAGAGAAACTATAAAGAACATTAGCTAATTTACAGTTTGAATAGTATTGAAGACGAGTTAGTCGGGTTAGTAAAGGAAGATACTAGCGCTCACTCTAGAGTTCCCTCTTCTCCCTCCACCTGAGGGCTAACATCTTGTATCAAAAACTAAAACTATAAATCAAGTTGGGGGCTTTCGCCTATCACTCTAAAGTCCTCTAATTCTACACCCTTCAAAGTTTATTTCTCTATTTATTTGCACTCAATCATAAGAATTACATTATCATCCATACAATCTCATGTGATTCTTACCATTTGTTGACCGAGACAATACCATCTCGGATATTACATGTTCTCTCAATAGCCATTAACATCTTAATTGGTCAAATCACGAAGTAAATAAAGTACAAGGTTTAAAATCATCACAACTTCTTCCAACATTTAAGACTAATACTTCACACAACTTTCATCCAATTCTTAATCATTTATCATTTTAAGAAAAAACATAAAGAAAACTACTCAGAATTCATGCAAAAAACACAATCACACTTAAGTTTGAAAGTAGAAATCATGCAAACAAACAAGAAGTCTAAATTAAAACCAAATGTAGTCACAAATTTGAAAACTTATCTAAAATCTTCTCCACCAAAGTCTTGAAGTTCCTTTGAATCTCTTCCTTCACTTACAATACAAACTGCAACTTAAAAAAAATAAAAGTGGGCGGCGGCTGCGGCGTATGGGTGTGATGGATGATGGCTGGATGGATTCCCCCTTTTTTATAATTTTCCAAAAGGTGTCTTGGTTCCTCTTCAAAATGTGTCTACATTCAATGAATCTTCTAAAAGTTGCCTCCTTTCAAAAGCTAATTGAATGAATTTTTGTGTCCATTAACTAATTCTCACGTTCACCAAGGGTTGCTCCAAACACCTCTTCAAAAATTCGTCCAAATTCATTGAATCATCAACTACTTCTGGTGCTTAAGTGCGGGGTACTGGGCGCTTAGACACGGCTCTCTCTGTTTCACTGGCACGTAAGCGCTAGTTCTGGGTGCCTCAATTCAATTTCACACCTTCATTTTTGCTCCAAATTTGATACTTTTTCACTCCTTTCATCATTTTTCATCCATTTAATTGTACCTGAAAGAAAAACACACAAATACCTTTCATTAAAGCGCAATATCTCAAAAATAAGTATAAAAATGTGTACATAAAAAATATATATTTTAAGTGTATCAAAATCCTTTAAACTTAAAATGTTATTTGTCCTCAAGTGATAATCTTTCAAAAAATAAAATAACTAGATTATGTAAATGAGTTTCTTTAGGATATTCTAAACTTTTGATCTAGAAATATAGTAGTCCAATTTAGAAAAAAACATTAGTATACGAGACCAACTTAGAGTTTAGAAATTTTAATATAAAGAAGTCTGAAAATATGAGTTTCTATCTATTCAGAAATATTATAAATTCTCCAAATATAGAGTTTAGGCATTCCATTTTTTCCACAAATTTTTCTAAAGTCTTATAATTTAAAAAGATCAAATGTGGAACCACTTTTTGATTAGGCACTAATCCTCAAGCTTCTCCTACCTTACTTTTTTTTTTTCTTTTCTTTTTCATTTTCTCTTTTTATTTTCTTTTTCTTTTCTTTTTCTTTTTCAGGCAAGGATTACTATATCTGGATAGACCCTTAATGATTTTGAATTCCACTTCTCATTTTCTAAAGCAAAGTTATGATATAAATCTTTTACTTAAAAAATATAATACTAGTTTTGAAAATTATTTTTAATAAAAGAAATTTAAGTATTGAAAATAAAAGTCTAACCCTTCTAAATTTTTCAAATATACAATTTCTCCTACTAAAGATAGTTACACAATATTTATCATTTCCACACTAAAAATTGTTAATTTTAAGTTTTTCTTCTTTACTATAAGTCTTAACTAAATTCTTTTACTTATTTCTATATTCAAAATTTTACTTCTGAAATATAACTTCATATACATAATCATTTTTTTTAAATCAAAATCAAATTTATTTGTAGTACATTTTAGAATAAATAAACATAAATTTTTTGGAATATTTTTCATCCCCTCCCCCCAACTTAAATTTTCAATAATATAAAATATTTTAGCATCATATATATGGGCAGAAATGAAAACTAAAATTAACAGGAATTTTTACATCCTAATATACAAGTACAAAGATTAAAAACAGGAGTGAAAATTAAATTGATCAAATTTTAATCTACTTTATATATAGAGATTTATTAGACTTCTATACAGTGGAGGATAACATAAAAGCAAACAAACATACTAACAAACATTCACAACTCCTATATAAAGAAAATACATGGTAGTAAATTGAAAAATTTAAACTTGAAGTTTTTAAGTGAAAGTTCGTAATATTCTAAACCTTCCTAAGATTCAGGATTAAGTTCAACAAAAGCTAACTAAATATACTAAACAACACAATTAACACAATTACTATAACAAAAACAAAATATAACTAGTCATAATAACATAGGTACATCACAACAGTGCCTAACACAACAAAACACAAACAAAAGTAGCAGTGTCAGCAAGTACAACTCAAAACAAAACAACAGTACAATATAACTGTACCACAAAAAGTTCTCAACAACACAATAAAACTAAACTACAGAACACAATCTAATCATCTTCCTCCTTATCAGCATCACTATCGTCACTATGCCAAACAATTGTAGGCTCATATGATGGATATTTTGGATATGGAAGGAAAACTACACTCTGGTCACCTCTCATGAGGTTTTCCATAGATGAGTGGAATTTCTCCCCATAATAACTATATCTCCTCATATATCTTTCTATATGATATGCTAAATTTTCTAAATTTAATACCTTATCAGCGGTATAGTTGATGTTATTCAATATTCTCTGCAATAATTGTGACTGTGAATTAGATCCAGAAGTCTGACCTTGCGAAGTCGAAGCACGTGAGGTAGAAGCACGAGATGTAGAGGCGCCTGAACTGCTAGAAAATACACCTCTCTAGCCAAAGATCGAATGATGTGAATAATATTTCACATTAACACTTACAATGGGCTTGAGTGGCTGCAACATCTCTTCCCAACTATCAAATCTAACACCTGTCTGCTCGCATAATGAAAAGGTCAAGGATGCAAATCCCAAACTTGCAGTAGTAGCAAGATGGTAGAACTAGTGATAGTCTCATAAATTTGTATTTGCATATTGTTGTTGTTCCTCAGGGTTCGATATTTGGGGTTTAATAAAAAAATCCTATATTACTTGA